TGACTCTAATCTGATTATTAAATTTGACGATGATGCATCTGTGTGGGTCCTATCAATGATGAATCATCCCACAAAAAGGAGATTCGGAATCTCATTAAGATTAGATGAACATAAATTAACAAGTGAATATTTAAGACCGAGATGTGAAGAGGTATAAAACAGTGTGTATCCGTGGAGTACAAAAAAAAAAGAAAAAAAAATTATTTATTTTTTATGACTTTTTATGTTTCATTGTAGTTTAACAAGCCGTCTGGTGGTAAAGAAAGCCCAATGGCACTTTGGGGATTTTATTTTTATTTTTGGAGGAAGTATTCGGTTGGTTGGGAGAGTAATGAGCTTCAAAACATGCACTGCTGAAAGTATTTTTACATGTTTGATCAAAGTTTTTGTCAGGTATTCGGAATGTTTCCGCTGGGCAGGATGGGCCCCAAATCATCTCCCTGTAGGACGATGCAGAAACACCTTCATTCTGCAGCCCAGGAGACGGTTTCGGATTCAAAAGCCACTCGCACAAAGCTATTGTACTCCTCATGAAGGTAGTCTTGTGCCGCTGCCTTTGGAGCTTGCTTTATAATAATAAATTCATTAACGCGCCGTAAATAATATATGAATAAATACATTTCCACTCTTTCTTCTTTGTCTTTGTGTCATTTGGCATGCACTTTGCAAAGGCACTCTTGGAAAGCTGTCTTTTTTTTTGTGTGTGTGGCTGAAGTGTTGTTCAGGTAGAAGCTTTGTGTTTCGCTGTTAATTTCCAGCATTACAAAGAGATTAGAGACGACTGCACCCAACAGCGGAGTTAGATTTGGGCGAAGAGGGCGAATCTAGAGCGTCTCCATGGGGGGATAAAGAAGCTCTTCTTTGTTGTAGCTCCACTTTTTTTTTTTTTTTTGATTCAGGCTGGATGGATTCTCACATTAACATCCCGGCTGCCTGGTGCAGCTTTAAGCATTCTGCCCCATGGTAAATGTAAAGTCTGTTGTTATTGTCGAAGCGCACATAGCTACAGGATACTAACACTTGTCAAAGTGTTGTGCTGAAGCACCTTGGAGAATAGTCTGAAGTTATCCCTGGCAGGAGATGAGTGAATTTCTCTGTCCTCTGAGGCTTACATATACATGAAAAAAAAAACAGTTGTACTGGTAGGTGTTGGCTGGCAACAGCGATTGTGATAATGCAAATGAGATGAAAGCTGTGTTTGAGGTTTGGCATTCGCGAACACACTTGCGAGTGAAAATCAACTGCGAAAGGCAACAATGACTGTATTTCGATGGAGGAAAAAAGTTCAGACGACCGTCACGGACGAACGGCGTCCTCTCGAGTGACGACGCCGCGCCGCGTAATTTTTCCTCACACGTCGTCGGTCTGATTTCAAAGATCGTGGGAGCGTTGGGCTTTAGCGTGGCTGGGTTTATAATAGGTCCTCGTGGGCTGGTGTGAGGGTTTGCTCACCGACAGCAGGTGTTCTGGCCTACATACAGTATGTGGAGGGAGATTGCGCCGCTGATGGAAGAAGTAACGCTACATCCTGGGTCACCGTTAAACCAGGAGAGGCATATCGTACAAAAGCACCAAAGATATGTCTTAATAAATCTCTTGGATGATGTCAGCTGAGGGCAGAATAGTAATGGCTGTGGAGTATGTCATTAAAATTAAGAGACAGCATGAGATAGGGTGAAGAATGGGCGGCATTGTCTAATAGAGGAGGCATTGTGAGAAGAAGCGATTGTGTATATTTTGGACAATTACTTGCTTGTTTGTATATTTTGAGTGATTATTCAAATGAGCCGTTTTGTTTGTGAGAAATGTCCCTTGTCTTTGGCTCTGTTATATTTGCACCTTTACCTCTCCAGATATATTTCACTGGGTTTGTATTGTTCCGCAGACGACCAAATTCCAGCAGGTAGTTCATTCTCACAGCACTGTGAAGCATCGCACCCAGCGGGAAAAATAAAAAAAATCCCCTCCCCGAGTTCATCGTCGCAGCATTACGGGAAAATGGATTCATCATCATTACGGAAAAATGTAAATACTTGAACTTCCAGAAGCTTAAAACCTCTGATTTCTGCGGATTTGCCACCTTTAATTTACACCTGAAGAGCTTCTCACGGTTACACCTCACACGTCAATGCATTTGCAGTCAGGAGTTTCTTGGAAATTATACGCCCGAGAGGTGAGGTTAGCTTTCAGTCCATTACCTAATGCACAGTAATTTAAAAAGCTCAAGCTTGGTCCTTGAATTACAAACTGAGATGACGGCGGATAGCGTTTGACATTTGGCTCTACATTAACTTAACTCATTTAACCATTAAAGGAACAGCTTATTCAGCCACGCAGCGAGCAGGTTCTTATTACAGCACAGGACAGCCGGCGACTGCTCGGCTCTCCTTATAATGACCTTTACAAAGGAGTAATTCCTTAAAGATGTATTGGATTCCTTGCGTGATGATATACTGACACAATAAAAACCTGGGGAACTCTGAGGAATTTTGTTGCAGAGGTAATTTCGTGGGCTGATTGTACAGTTAGCAGCACATATTGGTTGTTGCAAACTCCCCGCTTGTGAGAAGAGAACCCCAGGAAAACAAATTCAACTGACATAACGTCCAATTATGTTTATTAAAACAGATAATGTCGCATTATGTTTGTATTAATTCAACTTTCCTCTCCTATATCATTAGTGCAGCACACAAACTGTACCGCACACACAGAGGCACAATCGTTTAAACCGAAAAACAGAACAAAATTAAACCGCATCAATCACGTATACAGTATAACTGCCGTAGTTCAGCAAGAACCATGAACTGTTTTCAATATCGGTTGCTCACTTTTTACCTATGGCACCACGCTACCGGCTAACAAAGCTTGTCCTTTTGTTGGACGGACGCTGGCGCCGATAGTGCGCCAGATTGAAATGTAGATATATCAAATTGAATAAATGCTCCACTTTCGAATGCATCAAGCTGCAACAATCAGAAGGCATTTAGTGATGAGTCAATTTGTGTGAAATTGTGAAGCTTTTGTTAGATGCTGCTGGCATGGATATAAAATAAAAAAATAAAAAATCATGGACTAGAAAAATACAACTGCTGCTGCACGCCATCTCGAGCAGAGGTTCATTGTCCTCATCATGCTCCTTTGTACTCAGGAGAGAGAGCTGCCTGTTTGCGTTTTAACCATCTCATCATGGGCTGATATCCGGAGCACCGGGTGAACGCGGCGATGAGTAATTTAGTGGCTGGAAAACCGAACTGAATGATGAACTTTGATGATAGTCAGGAGTGAAAAAGATCCCTTTGCTGAAAATGTGCCTCTTAGTCATGTTGGCTGCGGCGGGATAAATGTTGCAAAAAAAAATAAAATGCACCCTCATATTTTAAATTTTGCTTTTTTTTCTGCTGTTGACAATAATCCTACAGTTTACTTGTCGGAAGAAAATCCACCTAAAGCCCTCTCCAGAAGGACGCTTTGTATCAGATCATTGAATTGAATGTCCATCCCCCACCAGTGGGACAGAAGGCAACATGGCAGCATGAATGTTGGTCATGCAGGAAAGGGGGAGGCAGTGGAGACCAAAGAGCTCAGGGCTACTCTGAGCAGTGATTCATGATATTTACTATTCGTTCCAGGTTTGAAGTTAATGTTTGCTGTTATCTAATACAATCTTATTCTGTAGCGTCCACTGATACGGGATTAGGATTGAGAACGCTTAATTAAATCTATATTACGGATCTGTATTACAAATGTGCAGTGTTAACATAATACTTAATCTAAGTTTACATTAATATAGCAATGCCAGACTCTGCAGTGCTTAACACAGAAAGAAAAAAAAAATCAATTGTTTCCTGCTTATTAACTTGTAATTATGGAGCAGTGCTTTCCACAGCCATTCATTTATTCTCTCATCTGCACCCGCGCAGCTGTTTTCCGTTTCCCTTTTATTGACGGACTCACTTTTTTTTTTCTTCTTTTTTTGTCATTTTTACCCATCCCCCTCACTTTCTCCTCTATCTTCATCTCTGTTTCACTCCCTCTCTTTCTTGCTGTCTCAGTGTAATGTGATCCAGGACCGATGCTGGCAGCCCCAACTGTGGCACTGCAATCTCTGCTCTGCTCTGGTTGCTAGGCAGCCTGTCTGAGACAGGGCTCAGTGATGCACCTCCCTCTGCCGTCTGCCTTCAAAAAAAAAAAAGAAATAATGAAATAAATAAATGAAAGAGAGCGTAGCAGGGTTGGCCAACAGGTCACCAGCCAAAATTCAGTTGATCCATCCAGATTCCTGCGTTTCTCAGAATAGGCAGCTTCACATCTGCAGTGCAGCACAGTAGAGCTCTGTGAGCCTGGGGGAGGTTGGGGGGGCTTCTGTTGGGTACAGATTTGTAGAAAATCACAAGCTCTTGCCCACAGGACAGTGTGGCAGATCTCCACTGTGATGCTGCCCACCTTCTCATGTTGTTTTGTGATGGAAAAATGCTGTGTGCAGATTTTGTGTCATCGCGCCTAGAATGAAACCTACCATGTGTGGCTCAAACAGTGGGCTGCTGGCAGGCTGCCCAGGTGTGGGATATCGGTAGGAGACTGAGGTTACTAGGAAGAAGCTGCATGATCTGCTGCTTTGGAGCCGCTATGAGTCACGGCTCTGGTTGCTCCATGTGGTGGTGGAGGACGTTGGCTTTGCTCAGCGCACAGTGGCCACATTTTGAGGCCTATTTTTCTATAATATCTTCACTTTGCGCCTGTAGGCGTCACACATGTTATGTGGTATAGCAGATTTGCATATAGAGTGCTCACATTTGGCTGGAGAAGCCTGCTCTCATGGAAACACTGCTCTGTGCCCTTGGTGAAGCGAATGTGTCATTTACACCATAATATCTAAAGGACATCAGCGACAATAAAGAGGCCGACCGTGAATTGGGTTCGTGATTTAGGCATCATCAAACTTTAATCCTGCTCATACCTGTGAATAACTTCCATCTATTTCTGTGTGTGTGTCTCTGCAGAAGTACAGGTACCAGGATGAGGAGACGCCCCCCTTGGAGCACAGTCCAGCACATCTGGCTCCAGGGAAAAGTGCAGAGATGCTTCACATGAGTGACAAGAACCTCGCTGCCATGGAGGCCATACACGGCTACACACCACACACACATATCTCTCCTGTCAAGGTAGGACACACACTGCGCTCATGTGCATTGTTGATCAATACGTAACACGATTACTACAGCACAATGCACTCAGCTGTCAACACTCAGGAATGTTGCCGCGCCAGAACAACCACACGCTTCCTTGAGAACATGTCGCAGAGCACGACACAGCCAGTAGATCACAATTAGAGCGTTACTGCAGTGCTGAATATTCAATGTGACATCGGTGAGGTAATTCTGACTTCATATTCAAACACACTCTGACACTCCCGAGTGTCACTGCGTGAGTCACGTTGTCGTCTGAGTCTATGAGATATTTTTGATGCGGATCAAAATAGGGCTGCAACCAACACTTGTTCTATTGTCCATGAATATGCTGATTATGTTCTCGATTGATTGTTGGGTCTATAAAATGTCAGGAAAAAAAAAAAAAGTCCATCTGGGATGTTGTTGACTGACGTGCTCAGATGTTTTGTTTAGGTTGTTGACATAAAGGAGTAAAGAAACTAGAAAATACTCAAATGTAAGAGGCTGGAACCAGTTAATCAAATATTTGGTGGTTAATTTAACAGTTAACAATTGACTTTCTTCCTTATTTTTCCAAATCTGTCTGCTATAGACGTGTATAGGTCTTTATAGTGGGATATAATAATTAGGGTGAATATATCCCCCATTACGAGCATGATATTAATCCAAACTGTGGGTCTGAATTCTCAAGTTGAATCACCAGCTGGATTTATAGTCATCACGGTAATGTGGTTTGCTTCATTCTAATTTCCTTCATTCAGAGACATACAGCGCTCTAAAGTCGTTAAATTTATATTAAGAGTTTCATTTGGCTCACGCGCAACGCATAATCTACGACAACTTCGCACTTAACATGACGTGTTGTCTGTTTTGAAATTCTAATCCGCCAGCAAAAGTGCTTTGATGGGAACATAATGCATTTATGAGGAATAAATACGCCCCCCCGGCATGTTTTAAGTGTCAGCTCAACTTTACACCTTTAAGAACATACACGTTGGGTAATCCGATATCGGAGTTTAGCTGCATGAAAACCAAAGGACGCAATCGAGATTTACAGTCGTCATCTGATCTCCTGATCGGGATGTGGTTAAAGATTCCGATGAACAAACTGAAATAAAAGCTCTCGTTATCGGTTTAGCGGAGGAAACATTACAGCAACAAACAGCCTGATTGGCACGTGTAGTCGCACTTACAGATCTGACTGATGCACGGCGGCGAGCAACAAATGCATTCTTTTTGTAATTCAATGAGACGGTTTATTTACCATAAACTCAAAGAGAACCTTTACACCGGAAAGGCTCGGTTTTGAAGTGGAACACAACTTTGTGGAACGCAATCACAACAGCTCTCAGCACAAACACTCATCTGAGCTGCAATTACCTCAGACGCACGTCCCACAAACGCAACATCTAATATCTCCGAGAGCTCCATGATAAAGAAGGAGATGTTGACACAGACTGCGCGAGAGCCACACAGTCGAAAAATCCAGCTGACATCAGTGGGAACATGAGCGCCTCGCCCGGAGTGCATTAACGAACACGTACTGTAGCTACAAATGTAAAGGTGTAAGCTATAATGACCACTTAATAATGATCCGTCTCATATGCCCACACATGTTTTTTAACAGCTGCTATTAAGACTTAAGCGTTTTGGTATTTATTTGCGTTGAGGGGTGGGAGTGCTTCTCTATTCCCCACGCGGGACCACATTGAAGTCCCCAGATATGTCCATTAAAGTGCTGTCTTCTAATGAGCAAAGAGGAGAGGCTGAGTTATTGCGCTTTACCCGCCTCTGTTTTAAAATATACAGCTGCCTGTTTCGGCATGAGCTGCGGTGGCCATGGAGCTTTCTCCTCGAGGGCACCGAGAGGCTGTTTGGGGACACTGTCAAGCTTAAAAAAAACCAGAGCTGTGGCATCGCGGAGTCACTTCCAGTCATCATTCGAGACACTAGAAACCAGTCATTATATGGCACAGTGCACACACCTTACTCCGGAGACAGATTTTAAATGAGCATCAAATCAGCGGGAGCGTCACGGGCTAATGAAATGCAGGCGCATCATAGGAGATGTGTGGAAACGCGCTATATGTATTACATCTGATTTACTGCTCTCAGGTCATTTGCATCTAAAAAGGATCCAAACAAAGCAGCAACTTGAACCCAACAGAAAGAATAACAGCGAACAATAAACAACACAAAGAAACAAGCCCCGGCCGTAATGTGGTTGCAGCAGTTTTGTCTGTCAGTCTCTGTTTGTCTCTTCGATGCTCCGTCAAGTCAAAGTGTGAATCCAGCAGCTGCTGTAGCCGGTGGAGGCTGACAGCGGAAAGGTGGCACATGTCAGTCAGCGTTGGAGCAGTTTTTGGGAGATATTTTAGGGGTGATCACAACACACCACATCAGTTAGAAGCAACACAACCTGCCTTTAAAGGCAGTTCAGGTTTTAATAAGTTAAAACGTGTAATTGTTCAAAGGGCGGACTCGCTCTCCTTTTCTGACCTTTTCTGGTTGGTTTGATTAATCCCAGTGATCTCAGTGGAGTTTGTCATCCAGCACATGCCAAGGGATGTGTAATTATTCACAGCTGAAGGGTGCATCATTTATTACGGTGATGGGATGGGAGACTTAGTCCTTTCTCTAAAAATCCACCATGATGAGGTTATTTAAGTCTGTTTAAGAGAAAATATAAAAAGTGATGTGTGCCCCGCAGGCTTTCAGATCCATTACGTGACTCAGTCTGTCAGCCAGTTTCCAGAAGCTCATATCAGGTACCAGTACGTCTGTGGGATGACATAAAGGAATTATCATCTTATACTGAATCACAATTACATCATAGGTGCAAATTTGGTGTGTGTAATAGGTCCTTAGGGCTAGACGAGTTCCATTAAGAGATGAGGCAGGCGATCTTTTTAATATTGACGAATCTCGTGAAAACACCACAAACAACAAATGTATTGACTTAAGTCTGACGTGGATTGTTTGTTTACGGCACAGAGCGCTGTCGTACAGAGGGTGACTTTGTGGTTGACGTCATGTTCAGGAGGTGTGGTGGAGCAGAGGAGCTACACTTGAAACCCGATTAGACCGCTTAACTTAATACGGCGTCGTCGCCAAGTTACCTAACGGGCAAGATGCACCGTACACATTCTAATTAATGCAAAAATTGCATTAGAAGTGGAAACCATTAAGAAAAAAAACAACAAATATTTACTTACTGAACAAACTGGATATCAGAATCTCCTGAGGGCCTCTTAATGCAATTAACCGCAGAACAAGCTCTAATTACGGTGAAGCGAAAACTGATTAAAAACAAGTGAACAAACAGTAAAAACTTTCTACAGAGAACGTATCGCTTACTCCACCGAGGAATGACGACAGAATGAGTGAATGGAAACAACGCGGCTTCGTCATTCAATCCGGACCGGCTACGTCATCCGAGCCAGTCGCACCTCCAAACATGCTTCTCTTTGAGGCGTATTATCCACTTAATTGTAGAATTCTTTTCAATTTGACCACCAGCACACTGATTAGAAGGAGTGAATTTAGCTAATGGCTCCATAATGACTTGTAGAAAAAAAAATGTATTGACTTAGTACTTCAGGCTGATGCTTTCTGAATGGGATCCCTCGGTGCTATTTCATTTTAAGGTAGTCTCGCATTGTTGGTTGGTTTATCGATCTGCAACTGAAAAGTCTGTGCCAAATACACTATTTACTAAGGTTTTACTCCTGTTTTGAGGAAACTACTTGAATAGAAGGTGCAAATAAGGAAAACATCCTCCACAATTTAGGAACAATTAGAGAGGTAAAAAAAGGCTGCAAATACAGAAAATACGACTCAATATTAGACAAAATACCCATCCATCCATTATCTATACCAGGGGTGTCCAATCCTGGTTCTCGAGGGCCACAATCCTGCATGTTTTAGATGTTCCCCTCTTCCAACATACCTGATTCAAATGATCAGCTCATCATCAAGCTCTGCAGAAGCCTGATAACGATCCGTAGCTTAATCCTCACCGCTCGCGGGGGGCTGGAGCCTATCCCAGCTGACTCAGGTGAAGCTGGAGAACCCGGAGAGAACCCATGCTGCACGGGGAGAACATGCAAACTCCACGCAGAAAGATCTCGGGTGTCCTAACCAGGATGCGAACCGGCAACCTTCTAGCTGCGAGGCAACGGTGCTACCCACTGAGCCACCCTAGACAAAATATAATAAACAAATACAATTCATACTGCAGGAATAACAGCATTTATCTGATATGATAATTAATTAAGCAAACAGAAATTTTGATTTTAAACAAACAAATGAAAAAACTCCTTTCTCTGAGCATATAGTCATGTTTCGGCATCACTGTTTAGTGACCCTCAGGAACAATTAAAACTCATGATTGTTGTTTGTAATAATTTCTGCATTATCTGTATTTGTACTGTGTTTCTGCTTTTAGTTGTAAGTGACACAGACGTTCTCTTAGTTTGCTTCTCCTTTGTCTATTTGCATGCATCCTCTTAAACTACATAAGCTCTCAGGGCCACCGCAGATTTATTACCTTGGAACACAAGTTAAAGCGGTTATTGAACTTTAACAGAACATGATATTTATAAAGTGTTGGTAATGTAAGTGTGGGCAGTTCTGCATTAAAATATGTCAGCAGGAGGCAAAGACTTTAGCCAAGAACCTTCATTTGGCATCAAAAGTAGGTTTGTTAATATACACATGATGTAAGTTTCCCCCCCACAGTGTTAATGTGCTGACTGTGCTACACATCTGTGTTGCCCTTGAGATTCTTTATTATGTTGCCTCCTAAAGCTTTTTATTAAATTCGGAGGACAAAGTACATTTTTCTGGACGGTTATTTTGCTCATCAGTCAGTCAGTGGTGTTTCTTTAACTAAACTTCCTACCTTTAATTAGCTCCATATTATTCATGTGTTTATCTTCCACGATGCCTCTCTCGGGCCTCGGAGCTTTCTCATCTCAGATCTCAGTTCTTGA